CTGAGACATAGGAGATGAGACTGAACCTTGTTGTTGCGTTTGTGTATATTGTAGGTGGGGCGCTCCAAGAGGGGCAGAATTCCAAACATTGGAACCATTGGTAGAGACCTGAGGAGTCCCACTTGATCCAGGCAGAGCTGGGAAGGAAGTTTGGGACATCTTTGGGTGGTGCTTGGGAGTGGTCTTCTTAGAAGTGGACATTTTTCTTGGCTTCAATAATTTTCTGCATTTCCTTTTTTCTTTCAGGACAAATAGCAGAAACAGCATGATGTTTTCCATTGCAGAGGACACATTTGGGTGTATTTTTATTATTACAATCTCGATAAGAATTTTGGGCCCAGAGCAAATGCTACAAATCTGCCCTTGAGTACTGCATTTGTTGGTGTTATGACCAAAGGCATAACACTTAAAACATTGTGTCACACTGACAAATCGTTCAAGAGAGATTTGGTCAGGTGTACATCTGGTGCCAAAACATTTGAAGCCATTTTGACACACAAGTTTGGCCTCCTCAGGGTCCTCAAGTATTAACTTTAAGGTTACCTTGTTGTTGTTTGGTTTAGAGAATTTATGTGCTTCTACAGCCCTAAATTCAGAATTCTCTGTATTAAAGTCCTCAACAATTTCATTCGCTGTGCTATGTTTCATGAAACTGTTGATTCTTGCAACAAACACAGTCCTCTGAGCTTGATAGCTCTCAGGTGCAACTGGGGTAACACCAGAAGTCTTCAGTTTTTCAAGGACATCATGCTTCAGCAGTTGAAGTAACTCTTCTTCCGAAGAGAGGAGAAGTACTGCTCCAGCGTGGGTTTGAAAAACATCCACTGGAACAACAGTTGAGTTCGAGCAAATACATGCTAGAATTTCTTTCATTGACATTTGATTTCCATCAATACGTAATCTTACTCGTATCCTCGCCATGATGTCTAGGAAGGAACATCTGGCAGAGGAGTTTCTTAACAAAAAGGGAACTTTCCTTAATGTTATACTAGCATCCTATTTCAGCTGACTTATGAATGTCAGCCCCTAAGATAGCCTACCCTCGAGTGGTGAGGGGAAAGGGCCCAAGGCAAAGATCGGCCGGATTTTAAAAAACCACACAGGCTACCGGATAGTCAAAATGCCTTGTGTTAACTCGCCAAAGCGAAGTTGCCGAAAAAGAAGAAGATAGGAAAGTCAGAAGGATAGCAATGTATGTAGTGTGTTAGTGTGTGGGCCAGTGTTGATGTTTGGGTGAGGGGAGGATGGGGAAGGATGGGGGGATGGGGATGAGAGGGGTGAACAAGCAAGCAAGTCACCGCCTTACCCTCTTGATGGGATGGGGCTCGAAGTGACTGCAAGCAAGTTTCCTCTCAGCTCTGGTGAAGAACTACTCAGGATAACCCAAGAAAAATCTCGAGCAATAGTGTTCAGAGTTGCTCAGCTGAAGAGCAGGAACGACTACGTCTTCTCTCCACGGTGGCTGGGCAAGCATTGCTTCTTTGTCTTGGAGAGAGCACTTTAATATCCTCAATTGTGTAAACCTTATAGGTAAGGCTTGGGAGGGAGTGACTAAGAGGACCTTGAACTCTGCTTGGAAGAAACTGTGGCCAGAATGTGTAGACCAAAGGGATTTTGAAGGGTTTCAGGCTAACCCTGAGAGGAGTATGCCAGTTGAGGAATCCATTGTGGCATTGGGAAAGTCCTTGGGGTTGGAGGTTAGTGGGGAGGATGTGGAAGAGTTGGTGGAGGAGGACAATGAAGAACAAACCACTGATGAGCTGCTAGATCAACTTCAACAGCAAGAGGCCAGACCTGAGGAAACTGGTTCGGAGGAGGGGAGAGAGAAATTGAAGAAGTTGCCTACTACAAAGATTAAGGAAATCTGTGCAATGTGGCTGAAAGTGCAAACCTTTATGGATGAAAATCACCCTCACACAGCTATTGCAAGCCGTGCTGGTGACTATTACACTGACAATGTTGTGAAACACTTTAGGGAAGTCATAAAGGAATGAGAGGTACAGGCCACTATGGACAGATATGTTGTGCGACAGAAGTCCAGTGACTCTGAAGCTGGTCCTAGTGGCATTAAAAGAAGAAGGAAAGTAACCCCAGAAAAAGGACTTGACACTTCAAGTCTTAATGGAAGGGGATATCCCTTCTAAACACTAAGACTCTCTCCTCCTCCCATCCCATCAATCATCACCAGATCTTCAATAAAGGTAAGTGTCATGTAATTGTGCATGCCTTTTTCAGTTTGTGTGTATTAAAATTAATATTTCATGTGGTAAAAATGTTTTTTTTTCATACTTTGGGGTGTCTTGCATGGATTAATTTGATTTCCATTATTTCTTATGGGGAAAATTCATTCGCATAACGATAATTTCGCATAACAATGAGCTCTCAGGAACGGATTAATATCGTTATGCGGGGGTCCACTGTATATTATATATATATATTTTTTTTCAACAAGTCGGCCGTCTTCCACCGAGGCAGGGTGACCCAAAAAGAAAATACTTTCATCATCATTCAACACTTTCACCTCACTCACACATAATCACTGTTTTTGCAGAGGTGCTCAGAGCACAACAGTTTAGAAGCATATACGTATAAAGATACACAACATATCCCTCCAAACTGCTAATATCCCAAAACCCCTCCTTTAGAGTGCAGGCACTGTACTTCCCATTTCCAGGACTCAAGTCCGGCTATATAAAAATAACCAGTTTCCCTGAATCCCTTCACTAAATATTACCCTGCTCACACTCCAAGAGATCGTCAGGTCTCAAATACCATTCGTCTCCATTCACTCCTATCGAACACGCTCATGCACACCTGCTGGAAGTCCAAGCCCCTCACCCACAAAACCTCCCTTACCCCTTCCTTCCAACCTTTTCGAGGACGACCCCTACCCCAACTTCCTTCTCCTACAGATTTAAATGCTTTCCATGTCATTCTACTTTGATCCATTCTCTCTAAATGACCAAACCACCTCAACAACCCCTCTTCAGCCCTCTGACTAATACTTTTATTAACTCCACACCTTCTCCTAATTTCCACACTCTGAATTTTCTGCATAATATTTACACCACACAGTGCCCTTAGACAGGTCATCTCCACTGCCTCCAACCACCTCCTCGCTGCTGCATTCACAACCCAAGCTTCACACCCATATAAGAGTGTTGGTACTACTATACTTTCATATATTCCCTTCTTTGCCTCCATAGATAATGTTTTTTGACTCCACATATACCTCAATGCACCACTCACCTTTTTCCCTTATCAATTCTATGATTAACCTCATCCTTCATAAATCCATCCGCCGACACATCAACTCCCAAGTATCTGAAAACATTCACTTCTTCCATACTACTCCTCCCCAATTTGATATCCAATTTTTCTTTATCTAAATCATTTGATACCCTCATCACCTTACTCTTTTCTATGTTCACTTTCAACTTTTTACCTTTACACACACTCCCAAACTCATCCACTAACCTTTGCAATTTTTCTTTAGAATCTCCCATAAGCACAGTATCATCAGCAAAAAGTAACTGTGTCAATTCCCATTTTGTATTTGATTCCCCATAATTTAATCCCACCCCTCTCCTGAACACCCTAGCATTTACTTCCTTTACAACCCCATCTATAAATATATTAAACAACCATGGTGACATTACACATCCCTGTCTAAGACCTACTTTTACCGGGAAGTAGTCTCCCTCTCTTCTACACACCCTAACCTGAGCCTCACTATCCCCATAAAAACTCTTTACAGCATTTAATAACTTACCACCTATTCCATATACTTGCAACATCTGCCATATTGCTCCCCTATCCACTCTATCATATGCCTTTCCTAAATCCATAAATGCAATGAAAACTTCCCTACCTTTATCTAAATACTGTTCACGTATGTGCTTCAATGTAAACACTTGATCTACACATCCCCTACCCACTCTGAAACCTCCTTGCTCATCCACAATCCTACATTCTGTCTTACCTCTAATTCTTTCAATTATAACCCTACCTTACACTTTTCCTGGTATACTCAGTAAACTTATTCCTCTATAATTTTTGCTATCTCTTTTGTCCCCCTTCCCTTTATATAAAGGGACTATACATGCTCTCCGCCAATCCCTAGGTACCTTCCCCTCTTTCATACATTTATTGAACAAAAGTACCAACCACTCCAACACTATATCCCCCCCTGCTTTTAGCATTTCTGTCATGATCTCATCAGTTCCAGCCGCTTTACCCCCTTTCATTCTATGTAATGCCTCGCGTGCCTCCCCCACACTTACATTCTGCTCTTCTTTACTCCTAAAAGATGGTATATCTCCCTGGCCAGTGCATGAAATTACTGCCTCCTTCTTCCTCAACATTTAAAAGTTCCTCAAAATATTCTCGCCATCTACCTAATACCTCCCTCTCCCCATCTAGTAACTCCCCTACTCTGTTTTTAACTGACAAATCCATACATTCCCTAGGCTTTCTTAACTTGTTTAACTCCAAAATTTTTCTCTTCCTTTCTCCCTTCCTTCCTTCCTTCCTCCCTTGCTTCCTATCTTCCTACTTCCTTCCTTCCTTCAGGCTTCCTGGGCATTGCTTTTGGTCACAAACTCCTCAAAACCATGAAATTCAACTTCACTGACACTTCCATCTGTGTTTGAACTGTCACTTGGAAACAAAAGAGCCCCAATTAGCCGAGGAGTGAGGAGTTTCTTAGCGCTAGACATGGTGAACAAGGTGTAATAAAATGGCTTTCCCACAATGCACCACTGGGTCCCCGATTTTTTTTTTTGTACTGAACACACTGACCATGGAGACCCATTCTCTCACATCATGGCATACCATCTGTTTCCTGCTTAATTTCAGGCCACTAGAATTTATGCGTACTAGTACAGCACCAACCCTGGTGCATAAGCCGTCCTAATATGGCACCAACCCTGAAAGGGTTAAGAATAATACTATATGGTTAACAGATACAGGTAGCTCCATTAAGTTGTATGGCTACCCACCTGTCATAATCCATTATTGTGTTGAGGCGGTGGGCTATAGTAAGAACTGTGCAGTCAGCAAACTGTGACCGAATTGTGTTCTGGATGAGCTGGTCAGTCTCCAGGTCGACGGCTGCAGTGGCCTCATCCAACACTAACACACGAGAGTTGCGTAGCAAAGCTCTAGCCAGGCACACCAGCTGTCTCTGACCCACACTGTTCATAAACCATAAATACTTTGGAAACAATTCTATAAAAAAAATATTTGAGATCAAACTCTGAAAACTTTGCCATTCAGCTAAAATTTTTTATCAAAATTTCAAGTATGTACAGTATGTTTAGCATATTTTTGGTAAGACTATAATAAAGGAGGGTGTAATATTCCATAACTAATGACTAAGTAGTACTATTCAAATAAATATTATAATAAATATTATGCTATGAGGAATTCTAGATCGCTCTAATATGATCCATAGTAAATTGTTCCCTCTTGAGGCTACTATATTTTGAGGGACTGGAGTCTCATGTGAGGTTGTTCCCAGATAATTAACCATCTTTTAGGAAAGTCATTATTTGCAGGAAGCAAGTTTCCACTCACCATGAAAAATTACCAGAAAACTCTTCATTATGCCTACACAAATGAGGCAAGCAGTAAGTACAGAAAACTAAATACAACTGGAAAAATAAAGAAAAAAGTGGTTTATGAAAAAACAGTGTGGAACTTGGTTTCCTGCTTGGTTAGGATGTAAATTTGAAAGATGAGATGCACCTGAAGTTGGAACCATCCTCATCAACAATGTTGTTAAGCCCATGTGGCTGACTGGCGATGTATTGCTTGAGGTGCGCTAGTTCCAGGACTTTCCAGAGTTCTGCATCACTATGTACACCAAAGGGGTCCAGGTTCATCCGCAGTGTGCCACTGAACAGCACTGGGTCCTGCAGGGTAGGTGGTGGTTCACAAGAGAAAGAAAACGAGGGTAGGAGGTGGTGTGAGGGTTGGAAGTGTGAGGTAAGGAGACCGAACAATTGGTTTAGGAGAGAAGTGGTTGAGGGGAGAGAAGGGGAAAGAAGCATTTACAGAGTGGAAGAGATTTAGGAAGAGGATGGGATTTAGGGAGAGGAAGGAGCTTAGGGGAAGGAAGGATTATAGGGTAGAGGAATTTAGAGGAAGGAAAGGGTTTAGGGTGAGGGAAGGAAGACAGAGATAATGTTACTATATTCTCAGCATTTTATCTCTCCATACCAACATGTATTCACATTTCTTCCCTATTTGGTAGGTGATAATGAAATGACTCAAGACAGACCGAGGCAGGACACTGTTAGGTGATAATGATATGACTCAAGACAGACCAAGGCAGGCTACAACTAAGTGATAGTCATATGACTCAAAAGAGACTGTAGCAGAACACACCTGAGGTATAATGCTGATGTGACCTCTTAAGTCATGAAGACCAATCTTGGCAATGTTGATGCCATCAATGTCTATGTAACCTCCGGCGGCTTCTATGAGGCGGAAGAGGGCCAAGGTGAGCGAGGATTTTCCTGCTCCAGTCCTGCCTACAATTCCCACCTGATAAGAACTGGTGTTAACTATATTTCACTTAATATGGATGGCTCCCTTCCCTACACCTGACTCAACTACAGACAAGTTGAACAAGATATAATTACAGATTGACTATTGATTGAGGTACATTCAATGGCTGAATGGTTACAGCATTGGGATCTATATGCATGGACCACAGTTTGAGTTCCTGTTCATTTTTCTAAACATTTATTAAAAACTTTAGAGATTATTATACTTTACTGAAAACTATTATAATATTGTGCCTAAATGAATGTTTTTCTAGGTTAAGTATACCTAGACTAGTGTGTAGGTATATATTTGTGCCTAAAAAGCCAAACTTGCTGAGTAGGCCGAACTCCCTTAAAAATTATACTTTTCCAAAAAATTATTGTACAGATAGCAATTTTTTAATTGACAATGATACACTTTTATTTTTGGACAAAAAATAACCTAGACACCTCACTTAAACTAACGTAGGTTTTTAGCTAAATTCTGCTATATATGTATATCATGGATCAGTTTACATTTATTTTGTATTATTTAAAATCTATAATATGTATTTTTTTTTTGTTAGGCTCGGATTAAAAATAGCAGAGTTATGCACAGAAGAGTTTTCATGTTGGCTATTTGACAGAACATGGCATTGTTGAATAGGCCAAACTCACAAGTTCGACTTATATGGCAGATGTGTGTGTGTGTGTACACACAATATACAGGCATCCCTCACTTAACGACCAAGATAGAGGCCATAAGAATCATTCTTTAAGCAAAAATTATGTCAAGTGAATTTAATTTTCCCATAAGATTCCATGCTATAACTTGAGATGCAAACCAGGATGGTAATTTCCCATATGTAAAAGGCATTTTTTTACATTAAACAAATCTAGTTTTTCCATGAGAGCCCATATAATAATTTGAGATGGGGACTGGGACAATAATATTTCATATTTATTTCTTATTATTTAATACAGTTTTAAAAATATCTGTCTACCAGAGATGGGTCCATTGTTATACCATTTTTTATAAGTGTTATACCCCTGTTTTATGAGTGTTATACCCTTGTTTTATGAGTGTTATACCCTCATTTTATGAATGTTATACCCTTGTTTTATGAGTGTTATACCCTTGTTTTACAAGTGTTATACCCTTGTTTTATGAGTGTTATACCCTTGCAAGCACTATGATGATCTCCAGGCACTAGTGAATTTTCTAAATGTCAGTACACCCATCATTACTCTCACTGAAACATGGCTAAAACATGATGTTACAAACATCTATTCTATACCTGGCTACACAGCCATACACAATTGTAGGCCAGATCAATTAGGAGGTGGAACAGCTATATACTAATCTGATGAACCAGAGTGTATAAATTCTACTTGCACAAGGGATGAGCATGGTGAATATACCTTTGCTAAATTTAAATTCAAAGACCTTACAAAACCTCTAACAGTCAGAGCAATTTACAGAGTTCCTCACTCCAATATTAACTCTTTTAGTGAAAAACTAAGAAACATAATATCTAGCGCTGAAATGAATGAACACCACCCAATACTTATAGGGGACTTAAACATAAATATCATCCATGACCATGACCCACAAGTGACTGAATTCACAAACACTATGAACAGCTGCTTACTTCTACAAACAATAACAAAACCTACAAGAATCACTAACACAAATGCCTCACTAGTAGACCATATCTGAACAAACACTATATCCCTGTTAAAAGTAGGCATAATCACAGATAACACCACTGACCACTATCCCATCTTTCTCATAACCAACTTGTGTAGTGCCCAAGGACACAACTAAGATCACATTCCGACTACATGACGAGTCATCTGTCAATAACTTTATTTCAGCATTTAGTGACACTCACTGAAAAAAATGAGCAGGCAGACAATTTAGATACTGATGAATGTGTTAATATTTTTATACAAAAAAAAAAAAACTCTATAACATGCATTACCCAATAAATGTAAGCAGATCACAGCAAAGAGACTAAACAGCCCCTGGCTTACAAACAGCATCCTCAAATCTATTGATAAAAAAAACATCTATACAAAAAATAGTACAGAATGGGTCTAATAACAAAGGATCTCACAAAATGTTACACGCCAGTACTAACCAATCTAATACAGTGGACCCCAGAATAACGTAATTCTAGAGAGAGTGACTTATCCCGAATCTGACTTATTCCAAATTAATTTTCCCCATAAGAAATAATGGAAATCCAATTAATCCATTCCAGACACCCAAAAGTATTAAACAAAATAATTTTTTTACATGAAATATACATTTCCCTACACAGAAAACAATGAGACATACTGAGTAAAACATTACTAAAATGACACTTGCCTTTATTGAAGACTTATTGATGAGTGATGAGACGGGAGGAGGGGAGAGAATGGAGGTGTACTATTGTTTGGAAGGGAAATCCCCTTCCATAAAGACTTCAGGTAAAAAGTCCTTTTCCAGGGTTATTTCCCTTCTTTGTTTTTTAATGCCACTAGGACCAGCTTGAGAGTCACTGGACCCCTGTTGCACAAAACATCTGTCCAGAGAGCTCTGTTTTTGGCGTGTCTTTAAGATTTCCTTAAAATGGGACACAACATTGTCATTGTAGATGTTGCCAGCATGGCCTGCAACAGCTGTGTCAGGGTGATGTTCATAAATGCTTGCATCTTTGTCCACATTGTACAAATGTCCTTAATCATTGAAGAATGCAACTTCCTCCATCTCTCTTCCTCCTCCTCTGAAGCAAATTCCTGAGTTGTGGTCTGTTGGTGTTGCACATGGCACATGAGGGTCTTGCAGCTCTGTAGTGGTTAGCTCTTCATCGTGGTCCTTCACCAACTCTTCCACATTCTCCAAACTCACATCCAACCCCATGGAATTCCCCAATGCCATAATACTTTCCACAACCAGGCATAGGCTCCTCAGGGTCAGCCCCAAACCCTTCAAAATCCCTCTCTTGTACACATTCTGTCCACAATTTTCTCCAAGCAGAGTTCAAAATCCTGGAAGTGACTCCCTCCCAAGCCTTATCTATAAGTTTATGCAACTGAGGATATTGAAGTGATCTTTCCAGAACTCTGTTAGGGTCAATTCAGTGTCTGGGGTCACTTCAAAAGCACTTTTGGTGTACAGTTTTTTGAAATTTGAAATGACCTGCTGGTCCATGGGCTGGAGGAGAGGAGTGGTATTAGGAGGCATAAACTTCACTTTGATTAAACAAAACTCCAGCACCATTCGCTCTTCCAAGTCTGGAGGATGAGCAGGAGCATTGTCCATTACCAGGAGGCACTCGAGTTCCAATTTATTTTCCAGGAGGTATTTTTTCACACTGGGGCCAAAGACGTCATAGAACCAATCAAAGAAAATGTCCCTTGTGACCCATGCCTTACTGTTTGCCCTCCACATCACACACAATTTACTCTTGACGACACTGTTTTTCTTGAACACTCTGGGATTTTCAGAGTGATACACCAGTAAAGGCTTTACTTTCAAATCCCCACTAGCATTATTACAAAACATGAGAGTTAGCCTGTCTTTCATAGGCTTGTGTCCTGGGAGTGCCTTTTCCTCCTGAGTAATGTAGGTCCTCTTTGGCATTTTCTTCCAAAACAGGCCTGTTTTGTCACAATTGAACATTTGTTGGGGTTTTAATTTTTCAGCCTCTATATACTCCTTGAAGTTCTGAACATATTTTTCAGCCACTTTTTTGTCAGAACTGGCAGTCTCACCATCCCTTATCACACTGTATATACCGCTATGATTCTTAACTCTTTCAGGGTCGGTGTCATACTAGAACGGCTTGCATGCCAGGGTTGGTGCCGTACTAGTACGTGTAAATTCTAGCGCCTTCAAATCTAGCGAGAGTGTGCACAGTACAAAAAAATCCTGCAGCACACAGTGCATGAGAAAAAAAAACTCTGACCGTGTTTTTTATTTAAAACAGGGACTATGCAGTGTATTTTCATATGATATTTTATGGATGTATTCTCATTTTCTTGGTGTCATTTTATAGAATGGAAGATATCTTACAGCAATTGAGATGATTTTAATTGGTTTCACAATGAAAAGTACCTTGAAATTGAGCTCAAAGTAGCAGAAATGTTCGATTTTTGCCAATGTTCAAAAGTAAACAAATCATGCTATGTGTCCAATACACATCAACTGGTAAGTCTAATATTCTTTCCCAGGTGCGCTGATATTATTTATACCATTTTTACACTAATGCAGTAGTCTGCATAACAGTAAATCTTCTATTTTTTTGTGGGAATAAAAGTTCAAAGTGGAAAGTGAAAGAAATGTAAGAGGGGCCTGGGGATGTGACTAATAAACAGAGAAAATGTTATTTTAGTGCCAGGAATGTTCTGTCTTGTTTATTCTGGATCCTATTTTGAAATTGGCTTCTTTTGAAATTTGTATGAAACTGGCAAAATTGCCAATTTCTGACCACTTTATTGGATAGTTGAAATCGGTAATTGGCTGGTTTCTTGTACTCATTCAATAGAACAAATGGAGTTCTAACGAAATAACTATGATTTTTGTGGACTGGTGCATTGGAATTGGCCGAAAATAGGGCTCAGAGTGGGCGAAATTGCTGATGCATAAACATCGTCGAGACTTCTAATTTCGTGAGAACGCAATTCCGTAAATTTTTCATCAAATTTCATACTTTTGGTGTCATTATGATCGGGAAAAGATTCTCTATCATTTCATAAGAAAAAAATAATTTTTATTTTTCTTCGAAAAATTTTCAACCCTGAGAACAAGTTTAAGAGAGGGCCTCTCGACCCTGAAAGGGTTAAATCTTTCAAACCAGCCTTTGCTGGCCTTAAATTCACCAATATCAGCACTAGTTCCAGGCATTTTCTTAATGAGATCATCATGCAGCTGCCCTGCCTTTTCACATATAATTGACTGCATAACACTATCTCCTGATAATTGTTTCTTGTTGATTCACGCCAACAACAGAGTCTCCACATCTTCAAGTA